ACGCAGGGGGGCCAGCTCCTGGACGCTGAGCTCTTTGGGGCCTCCCAATATTTTGGAGGTGGGGGTTGCCCCCCATGTTCAAAAAACATGGAGGTGAAGCATGGAGCTGAGAACAGCTCAGCTTCAGTGGCTGGCTCCTCCTCCTGCTGGGGAGGGGAAGGAGGATTGAAGCAGCCTCCCACCAGTGGTGGGGCCAGCAGTGTTTAGTTGGTGATAAATCACAATGCTGAAAACTAAACATTGCTCAGCCCTAACTGAACTACCTTGCATATTTTTATTAAATTATAGTTAATAACATATGAGAACGTTCTCCATTGCCTAATTAAATGCAAAAGTAGTTTCTCAACCTCTCCCTTTGGGTATAACTTATATTAATCGCCTTTACAAATTGGCTTGTGTATTTGATTAGTTTTTAGTCAATAGCATTTAATAGGAAATATTGGTTCAAATATTGGTGTGTGTTGTTTTTTTTGCAACAACCTATTAGGGTTGCCCTTGCTTGTAATGTAATCCTTCTGAGTAACCTTTCTGAAGGCAAATGCAATTAAATCCTGCATTTTTAATTTTACAAAGCTGTGGGCTAGTTTGTATTTAGCATAAGGTAGGTCCCTGTGCTCCTATGTTCCACATGGCTTTAGAGGAAAATAAGGGGTTAACAATTAACGATTCGTGTGCCTATGGAAGCAGTAGCTTTGGAAATCTGCTCTGCCGAACATTCCCCAGCCCTGCCTGCACTGCAGCCTGATAACAATTCCATGCTGTTGGAGGGCTCCTGGGTGAAATTGTACCTGATTCATAAATTGTCCACGCATTGCGGGTGACACAAATGTATATTCCAAACCAGGTACATTGGAGATTGAATACCATCATTTATTAATGTGTGTGCAGTATTGTGAAATACAGCAAACTGGCTCATTTCTGCTACTGGCATTGCATGCCTTGCGGATTGGTTCTGACGACACACTGAAGGCTAAGAAGCAGAGAAACTGCACACCGAGGTCTATTTTCACAATGAGTGTATCATGGGAGCAACAATTTTTATCTTTTTGTGGGAAAGGAGCCCATTTTTCCAACATCACAGTTCTCATTCTGGTAGACCAATTTTAGGAACGGTTTTTTCCATTTACGTATGTTGCCTGCTGCAGTAGTATCCAAAGAACCACCCTAAGGCACATTTATTTAATATATTACATTTTTATCCAGCCTTCCTTGCACCATATTACACAAGGCACTCACTTTATTTACTATTTATTTATTTTTAAAAATTCTATTTCATTAAAAAAATCAGAGAAGTTTACAATAGTTATACATAAAATATAAACCATGTGAAACTTTTTAAACCAGCTGTTACGGAAATATGTATTATTAATTGCCTACATAAGCCGGATGAAACAGAAAAGTTGACATCATGCAGAAGCTGCTGAATCTCTACTGGCTGAGTATGTCACAAGACTGGGCCAATGACACGAAAAGCTTGGTTTCTTGTTGCTATCAAATGAGCCTTGCCATCTTGGCAATAATGCTCCAATAATGCACCAATAATGCTCCTACAGAGGGATCACCTATCATCAACAGCAGCTGGTTGGACACAACATAAAACATCAGATGTAGCTTAGGGAGCTATTTCTGGGTTCTCTGCCATGTAAGTCTTGACAGGTGGTTACACTGGAACTTCCACCTAAGCAATGTTTGTCAGGACTCCTCGTTATTACTACCTCTTAAGTGCCTGGCAAAAGTCATCCTGGTCTCACAAGCTTGTGATTTTATTTATTTTATTTGCATATAGATAGAGAGGAAAATATACAGGCATTCCCCCCCTTGTGCGCAACCAAATCAACCTTGACCTTATATACGCGCAGTGCCGGGAAATCATTAAATATTTCAATACTAACCAGAAATGGTGGGTGAGAGCGGGAAGGTCCTCGTGGCTCATGAGGAGATCCTCTACGGAGTCTGAAGTCCATAAAAAAAGACTTCAAGGGCTCCAAAATGGCGCATAGGAGCTCTCAATGCTGCCATGCTACCCCACTCAACAGCTGTTGGGCAGGAAGCTATAATTTTCACAGGTTCACCACTTACTGCAGGCTCCCCACTTACATACATTTCACTTATGCACATGGGAGCCCAGAAAGTAACCCCCTCGTAAGTGGGGAGTCGTCTGTGTATGTATATCTATCATCTATCTATCTATCTATCTATCTATCTATCTATCTATCTATCTATCATCTATCTATCTGCTGGCAACATTAAGGGAAAATATCATAGGGAGCTTCTGGCTCAATATTGTCTACACAGACTGGCAGCAGCTCTCCGAGGTTTTTGGTACAGTTATCTCCTGGCCCTTCTGCATGCAAAGCACATGCTCTACTGCTGAGCTTTGGCCCTTCCGCAACTAATCCCTCTCCCTAATCTGGAAACCATTATATTATGGCGCTACTATATCGTCGTGGTGAGTAGCGTAAAATCAATACTAAAACTACATCCATAAAACAAGGACAAATTAATGGAACAGATCAATATATCAGCATAGCTTTCCTGAGGAAAGGCCTGGTTTTAATGCCATTTAGATTGGTTTCGTTCTCTCCTCCTGCCCACTCCCACCCACAAAATAAGTACTGATTCTCTTGATTTCTAACCAAGACAAAATGGAAGCAGGAGTCTGAGTTTTTAGGCTTGGAAACTGCCCCCTCCATATATAAAAATCAAAAGCTGAATGTGTGTTATTTCTGAGAAAAGATGAAGGCATTGCTCATCACTGTTGTGAAGGAAAATATTGAAATTTCTGCAAGGCTGAAGGAAACTTTGGTAAAGGCTGAAGTTAAAGAAAGAAACCCCCTACAGACAATAAACTATTTTTCCAATTAGCTCTTTGCCTCATTCTTGTCCTAATTCTGAGCTTGGAATGAGCACCAGAGGAATACTCCTTGTGTAAAGGTCAAGAGGACCCAATGTTGCAAATTAGATTCTCAAACTCAGAGGAGGAAAAAATGCCTAGAGGTGACTCAGGCATTTTGCTACAGCCATAACCTCCAAAATGACCCAGACATGCTAGAGGTGCTGCTGGCAGCATTGGTACTCCCCCCCCTTTAAAAAAAAAGCTAGCAACTCTGTCCTTCAAATTCTCTCTCTCAGTAATGAGTAGCTCTGGACTGCATCAACTATCATGGGATAATGAAATGACGCTCAGATTCTGAAGTTCCTTTTCTGCAGTGCTGATAGACACGTGGCCAAACTAGAGGTGAAGTGGGAGACCTATGAGTAGCAGGTGGTGAAGTGACAGAGGCACCATGCTGGCATTGGTGGCGCTGCTACTTCCTCCGATAAAATGGGGTGAGGTCAGAACACAGAGCATTCTCACTTGGAAGATAGAGAGACGTCTGTCTATCTGCGTGGGTGTAAAAGTAAAATGGACATTTGTTTCTGTACCCAACTTTTCCTCTGGGCCGGCATGTGACCCTCAGAAGTGGCCCAGAAGAAAATGCAACCCTTGGGCTGACTATGATTCCCCACTCCTTAAATACTGTACGGGATAAGAGTACTGAATAATCAAAACATCACTATGAATAGATAGCTATAGATTTAATTTCTATTTAATTTATCCATAAATATAAACAATTTGTTCTGTTCTACCTTGTTGTGTTTTTGACTGGTTTAAAATGACTGTCAGAGCTTCTTCTTCTTCTTCTTCTTCTTCTTCTTCTTCTTCTTCTTCTTCTTCTTCTTCTTCTTCTTCTTACAAAGATCACAAAACCATTGAAAGGTTTGAAAACTAGGATCTAGCTGATGTTTGGTTCATCTCTGCAGCATCCAGCATTTCTATCTTGCTTCTGAAGGGATCTGCCTGCCTGCCTGCCTGCCTGCGGGTGCCCTAGCCTCCTTCTGCTTCTTTCTCTGGTGTATCCCCAGGGTGCTCTTCACTAGAAAGAGAATCCACAACAAAGTAGTTCAGAAGCTGACGGGTGGGTTGCCTCTGCCCCAGTGACCCCGTTTCTGATTTCCATCTCCTCTCCTCTCTTCCCTGTTGTTCTTGTTGCTTCAGCTGCTGCTGACTTTCATCTCGCAGAATCCACCGTCTTCAACCAGGGCCTGAATACCATTTTCCTCCGGGGCTGATGTCAGCATTCCTGCAGTCGGCATGCAGAGTCTTGCTAAGTAGTACTTAAAGTGTGTGTTTAGATACTGTATCTTCCTTTGGCTGTTTTTGGTCCTAAGGACAGGCCTCTTATTTTGTCAGAAGAAGGATTCACTTTAATGTCATCCCTGCAAGTGCATTGATTGATGTTTCCTTAAACACACCTATACCATTTGTAGTTGCTGCTGCCTAAGTAGCAGCAGCCATGCTGGCCTGATTTTTTTGCAAGCATGATTTTCAATGCACGTTTTTCTGCATTCATTTTCTTTCACCCTAGCTTCAAAATCCTCCCTTTTGAAGATTTATTCTGCTGGTGAAATGAGCTGTGTGCTTTCCGCTGACTCCAGAACTATTAGTTCACACTGCTGAATTTCTCCATATGATTTACATGGGTGCAAAGACACGTGGAAAAAGGGTAGTGTGAACTGATTGGTACACAGTGACCTGCCGTGCATGTCTGTGGTCAGGCAGCATTTTCCACTAGCAGCCACAATCTCCAAGACAGCTGCAGGGTGTATATTGGCAACCAGTTTTCAACAGGCAGTTGTGTACCTGCAAACATAGCCACAGGTAGAAATTTAATGGTGCCAGCTAGGAATGGTTGGACGTGTTGCATCTCCCCTTCTCCTCAGATTTACCTTGAAATTTAGCTGGGGGCAGGCAGGGGCGGAGAGAAATAGACTCATTTCTTGAATCAATCCCAGGAAGCTCCCCTCCCTTGTCTTTCCCGCCTGAAGTAATCCATATTCACAAACAAAAGCATTCTAGAAACGACTAAAGCCTCCTTAGGAAGCTTCTCCTACACTTTGACGGTCTTTCGTTTAGCAGTCGTAATTATCTGATAACTGAATGACACCTGAAGCAACAGTTCATTGCAACCTGTGATTTATTGTCACAATCCTCAGATGCCTACAGTGTGTTTTTATAGGAAAAGTCAATGCTATAAAATGCCATTTTAGAATTTGCTGAGCAGAGGCAAGTTATATTTGAGTGTATGTGTGCTTGTGTGTGCTAGATTGTTGCATTCTGTACAATAAGTAATTTCTGGTTGCAGATTTGATTGGGTAGCATTCTTAAATCACAATTTATTTTCTAGATAAGCACTGTTTACATTAATCAGAGCACACTATTTACCTAGAAGGCTGTAACTCTGGTTTGTGATGTGAGGGTGCTTTTTGCCCTAGGGAATAAGAGTTCTCAAATAGCAATGCAACGTGAGCTGGCCTAATAGAGAGTTCCTGTGCTATAGAAATCAACGGCTATTATTCAATCAAGTTAATAAACCTCATTCGCTGATTGGAGAGCTGTCATCTGGAGATACTGATATTGAATGAATGGGATAATTTATACTTCCTTCAGGAAGACAGAAAAAGGAAATAACATCCTTTCAAAACTGAATCACAAATTTCACTCCCTCCTGAGAAAACCCAGTGCAATCATTATATTTTTTTCATTTCATTGTCTAAAGAGTTTCCCACCAATCTAGGGGAGAGGCATGGATAGTCCAGATCATCATATCAAGGCCTTCTGGGGCAAGAGTTAATCCAAGAGAGTACTGGCAGAGGCATACTGTCAGGGAGGTATGTAGGAGAAAGTACAGTATGGCTTACAAAATAAGACCATACAATATACGACTGTGTTCCATTTGCTTCAAGAAGAACACCATGTGGCAGCATCCTTCTAATCCTCTGCAGTGCTTTTCTTCTGGTGGTACTCAATAAATGGTACACAGTGCCAGAACCCTTTCCCCCTCTCAAATCTTGCAGTAATGTAAATGGAGGTTGGGGAGAGCAACTGTGACTTAAAGGGGGACTGCAAAAAGCAGGAGGCTGAGGCAGAGACAGCGAGGAAATGGAAGTCCTTGTTTGTGGCTGTAGTTGCTCTCAGTCAATTGTTCCCCTTTGGCTGCCCTGCCATGCATGCTCTCGCCCCGGGTGTGCTGCTGCCATGTCACCAGCTCGCTGCGCCGTGAAGTGTGAGGCGAGAGTAAGCACCGCTTCCCTTTCATCTGTGCTTCTCTTTCCATGTCTGTGGGGCAGGGGTGGGGAAAGGGAAGGAGGGAAAGAAGGAGAGAAGAGGTAGGAGTCAGCAGCTTCTGCTGCCTAGGCCGCCATCCTCCACTATGGGGATGGGGCAAACCATAGAGGCGAGTTCAGATGTTGTGGCTGGTTGCAGGAAGGAGAAGAGAGTGTGAAGACCAGATGGAGCAATGTATGGGGCAGAGGCGCATCTTGAAATCAGCACTTGCATATTTCATGCAAATACATTTCTTTTTCTTTTTTCTGATGGTGCCTTCCCTCCCTTTTGGTGCTGTGTAGCTGGCTGTCCTCACTGCAACAAGGAGTGCAGGAAACGTAAAGGCAGGGTGAATCCACAACGTCCTTCTCCATCTCTCCATTGTCTCAATTTTAATGAGAGTCGTACAAAACAAATGTGATTGTTCATGGAAGCTTAGGAGCCATGCTTGTAAAGATGCCCAATAGCTCCTGCAAATACTGTCAGGATGGCTCAAAGTTCATTCATATGGACAACACAGCCTCACAAAAGAACCGTTCGCTCAGCTGCTCCTTGAGTGACCTTGCAGGCAGGCTTCTTTCTCTTGTGTGTGTGTGTGGCTTGCAGCTTCTGCTAGAACACTTTAAAGTCTGACTCTTTACCTTGACATCCAATTCCCACTGGAAACAAGATCTGGGTTTCTCTTACTGATCTAAGCTGGAGAGATCGTTGTGGTGGCAGGGCAATGTGCTGAGAGAAGGTCAATCCTGCAAGGAGAGAAAGGAATAGATCCACTGACTGAGAAAGCAAATAAAAGACTTTTTATTCCCCAATTGCTGTATAGTTTTGTGTGTGTGTGTGTGTGTTTGTTTAAAACTATATGTAGTAGGGATTATGGCAGGCAATCACATGAACACTTTAGTCAAAGCATTTTTTCCCCTGGCCACCAAAGTATGTCTTTCATTATTAGAGGAGAGGAATGTTCAGCGCACTTAGAAGGACATTGGGCTAGTTCAGTGCATGTCAGCACTTGCAGCTTACTATAATGAAATACTTTCTTATAGGCTGCGGTGTAATCTCTGAAAGGATATTTTGATTGTTCCTTTCATAATGTTATTGACGGCATTTCAGTTTGGGTAATTAAAATGATAGATGCACAAACACATTCACCATTTTTTATTTTCTTTTTGCACGAACGAGGTTAGTTTGCTAAGTGCTGTCTGTCCTTTCACCAGTTTACTATGTTACTTTCTCCCCTATTGTCTATTACAAAATAAATCCTGTCTCAGCTGCATTGTTTTTCCATCAGCAAAATGCAACATTGGCTATTGTGAAACCCAGTCAACCCAGTGGCTGCTATCTAAGCCCTGTGTGCACCTGTGAATACCTTGTATCTCTTGCATGTGGCACACCTTGTGTCTAAGGAACTGTGCTGGGATCAATATTTACGATACTATTTTGCTACCATTTATCTTATAGTCTGGGGCTGTAGTCATATGACCCTAAGGGGGTTCCATTTATTATAATGGGCTGGAGCACAATTTTATTTCTAGTTCTCTCAGTTTATGTCCCATGTTATTCCTGCAATAAACATTGTTTGGTTAGCCAGCTTCTAAAGTGAGTATGCGTTTTATTTATATATAAAAACATGTTCCTAGATAAAAGGATCATTATGGTGAACGTAATATGGTAATGTCAAAGCCTTAAAATACTACGGTTGCAGTAAGTAAGCAAGGCTTGCAAAAACAATTGCATACAGATCAGAGCCAGTATAAAATTTTAGTACTGGGGGTCTATGAGCCTATAGAGCAGGAATCTCTAGATGTTGTTGGACTGCAACTCCCATCACTCCTGACCATTGACAAGGCTGGCTGATGAGAGCCAGAATCCAGCAACATCTGGAGGGTACCACATTGATTATTTTCATAATTGATCATTGATTGTTTCCACAATTCATAATTCACAATTCGTTTATTTCATATACATGAAATAATAGCTTGCTTTGATTATTCATTTCATTCTAGTTTTTGTGGAAGAATGGGAAAACCTATTTTTTTCAGTATGTTAACATCGAGCTATCTTATGAGAAGTACGGATGCTTGGTTCTTAATTCCCAAATTCTCAATTGTGAGCTTTGATAATTAAAACAATCCCACACACTAAATAGAATCTCTCTACTGAAGAGATAGCCTTGACCATGGCTATTTTAAGGAGGGGGTGGGTCACACTTCTATAGTACAGATAATAATCCCCTTTCATGGATGTGATAGCTTTTGTGTTATCATGAAAGAAATGCTTGAATGTTACATTTGTTCACATTTAGACATGGGATCAGAATCCAATGTCATTTGTCACACTCTGTGCTGTGGCCTGAATGGCACACTAAGATGGCAGTGAAAAGTGATTTCTTGGCTTTAAAAAAAGCCATTGTCAACAAAACAGAGCAATTGCAAGGCAAGGCAAGACTTCTAGTGCACTGTATTAGGGATATTGGCGATAATTGGTTATGCCAACATGAAAATATTGTGACCTGCTCCCTTAAGAAATTAAAAATGATAGCTGTTATAATCTTGGATAAATAAGTTTTGTTCTTCAGCATTAATGCATTAAGGCAATTGTGAGGAAGTCCATAAAGAATGAGCAAGTTGAACCCCTCTCATAACTTCATAACTTGGGTGCAATGACTGAGAAGGCACTCTACATGGTCCCAAACAGATGGAGAACAGAAACGGGTGGAAAGAGGGGATCTGCCAATGACCTTCCTAAGTGAGAGGGTTCATGCAGGAGAAGGCACTCCTTCAGATAATGCCAGAAGAGGCCTTCAGTGCTGTGCATGATGAAGTCCCATTAGTAGGCTTCTCTTCAAAAAATATTGTGGGCAGAACCCGATGACCTTGTTGTACAATTAACAACAAATGTCTGGCCTCCCTTGCAATATAAGGCATGCTCCACATGAAGGCCGTTACCAATTATAAGGGCAATTCAGCTGAGGGTCCTAAAGGAGATTCAAAACCTTCCTGTGAAAAAAACAACAGCTCAGCCTGCTGCTGTTGTTTTAGAGCAGAAATAACAAACAGCAAGGGGTTTGCAAGATCAAAGACTTCAGAGGGGTAATTAGAAAAAATTGAAAATTGCTTCTTATTAAAAGAAATTCACCACAAAAGGAGCAAAAAATTAAAATTGTTTCCATTTCTTCGGGAAAAGATTATTCTTATCATATTGTCGACCAATAAAGGGACTTGATTGCGTTTGTCTGTGGCATAATGGAGTTACTCTGATAACAAGCGGCAAGAGGGAAGAACACAGACTAGGCAGAAAGTGTCTGCCTGCTTTTTCATTAGAAAGTCACTCGTGGGAGCATTCTGTTCACTACAGGCAAAGAATTATGGGATTAGGTTGATTTGCTGCACTTTTCCTTTAGTCTCCATGTGGTATCCATATGGAATAGCAAAAAGAGATGCACTTCAGAGCACACGGACACCAGCTAGTTCCCATTAGGGGCGTATTTTGTTTTCACCGACGTGGTTCATGGGCCTGAGAAATCACAAAGGATCTGAGGGAGCCTAAATACAGCCCCTGTTGTGAATAAGGATGCACAACCTTATCTTTTGGGGGCCTTTACACAGAAAATTTGGTTCTCACTTAATTTTCCCCTCTCTTAGATGTCATGCTTTTTCTTTCATACTTAACTCGCATTCATATTGTAATAAGAAGCATCTGTCAGCAGATCAGGTCTTTCATGACATGCTTGTCTTTGTTATCACAAGAGTAGACGAATATTCATTTTTGGTGGTGCTAATTATAGAGAGAGCATCCCAACACTGGCCAGGATGCTAGGAAGAATGGGCAATTTTGTAAGGTTGCTGTAGCATCTGTTCAAATGGAGTTCCCCGAGGCTAATGAACAGTGCTTGAAACCACAACCATCCCTCAATAAAACTAAATTCAGGTCATTATTATTAAAATTTTACTACATATTTTGGAAAGCTGTTCATCTTAAAATATCAAAGTTTTGCAGAATAGTTCCTGAGATCAAGGAGCAGATTTTCACAGTGTTTGGGTACAATTGGACGCCATTTTGCATCAAGACAGTATAATGTATCTTTCAACTTTGCACTGATTTTAACCACCGATTTCAAAACTGTACTGATTTTTTTTGTTTCTTTAATTTCTTGAGCAGCCTTGAGGACGAGGCTGTTAGTTTGACTTTTTTACACATTTAAATCAAGTTTTGAATTTGCATACTCCATAAGCAAAAGGGCTTCATGCTTCCCACGTTTCAGATTTTGATAGTGCAACTCAGATGCAATGGTGTCGAAACCAGAAGTTTTATAATATGGAAAATATGATTGGCTTAATTTTTATGAATTTCACATGTCACTTCTAATTAAAATTTTGAATTTTGTTATTATTATCATCAGCATGTTGTTGCTGTTATTTTATTATATTGATGTATATTTACCTGCCTTTCACCATGAGGACCCAGAGCAGCTTTCAACCATCTAAAAATACAATATTAACACTGTTAAAATAGATCAAGAGAACAGATAGGGTCTAAAATAAATTTCTCATGCATCAGAGGCCAGAACAAAGAGGTGAATTTTCAGCAAATGACAAAAACTACATAATGAAGGCCCCACAGGAATACCTATGGGAAGGAAATTCCATAGCTTAGGGGCTGCCCCAGATAAAACCCTCTGCTGGGGCTGTTGGCACAACCGAGTGGGTCCCTCTGCTGATCTTAGGACCTGAGAGCATCTGTAGAGAAAGAAGTTGTAGTTCAGCTTTCTGGGACCTATATTATTTAAAGCATTAAATACTAATTTGAGCACATTTAACTGAATCCATAAACAAACTGGCAACCCCTGCAGCTGTTTTAAAACAAGAGTTATGGAAGTTCTAAATAGAAACCCGGTCAGTAATCTGGCTGCTGCAAATGCAGATCTAAATGGGGAGCCAGTGTGGTGTAGTGGTTAAGAGCGGTAGTCTCGTAATCTGGGGAACCGGGTTTGCGTCTCCGCTCCTCCTCATGCAGCTGCTGGGTGACCTTGGGCCAGTCACACTTCTTTGAAGTCTCTCAGCCCCACTCACCTCACAGAGTGTTTGTTGTGGGGGAGGAAGGGAAAGGAGAATGTTAGCCGCTTTGAGACTCCTTAAGGGGAGTGAAAGGCGGGATATCAAGTCCAAACTCCTCCTCCTCCTCCTCCTCCTCCTCTTCTTCTTCCTTAATCAACAGCTGAGTGAAAGATGTTTTGAATGAAGAAAGGATTCAACTATTTCATTTGACAGTACCCTTTCAAAGTTTCCCCATTTTCTCAAAGAAATGTGATCTCTGGTAGTAATTGACTCAGAGAACAACTGACAATGTCGATTAATATCTGTCTGATATATCCAAATGGTTCTTACTTCTCAGTGAGTGTAAAGTGGGGTAGCATTTTGGTTCTCGTTGATCAGAGGTCAATGGCAGTGTGTGTCAAAGTGACAATTTCCAGTGTTATGTAGCCGATGGACATTGGCACTGCCAATGATGAGCTGCAGCAGTTTCTGAATATAATCATTGTAGTGTTGCAGATAGTTTCCTTTTGTGGAAGTATAAACAATGCAACTGGTACAGAGCTACTGAATCTACAATCTTGGACATTCTCTTGAAAATTCTGTATCTTTATCAAGAGGTTATTTTTAGTTTATATTCATGGATTCCTTGTATATGGTTAAGGGAGAAATGACTGTTGTGCATAGATAACTCCCTCTCTCTCTCTCTTTTTTAAAAAAAGGTCCTATGAATAGCGCTTGAGCATATCGAAGTGCTTCATTATTTGTCCTTCCTTGATGATAGCAGGGACAGAATTCCAGCTTTCTTTGCAGCTGTGTGTATGTAGAACAAGCCAATAGACATGTCTGCCCCTTCCTGCAAAGTTCAAACATGAATACCCATAATATCATGTCACTGAGTCCTTCCGCCAAAAGCAATGGCTCATTCTATTCCACCTGCTAGTTTAAAAATGTCATTATTTGTATTTCACACTACAGCTGATATTTTAATCCTCAGTTTGAGCAGATGTGCTGTATTCATATAGAAAAGGCAGTGAACTCATTTAATTAACACCAGATTTGTACAATGCTGCGTGTACTTCACCGTGGAATCAGCTAGAATGCAATTATGAAGATGAGATTCTGATATAGATACCCCCACCCCCACCCCCACAATGTAAAGCACATGCACAGCTCAATATGAGGCAACCTTCCTTGGGAATAAGGCCCTCTGAGTTCAGTGGGACTTACATCCAGGTATATGTGCATGCAATTTCAACCTTAGCGCTATATCCAGTGATATTTTTCTAGAAAAAGAGGTGCCAGAACTTACCATAAACAAGTTCTGGCTGAAAAAAATCCCTGGCTATATCCAATGACCCTCTGAGCCCATGTCAACAGTGCTTTTCAATCTGGCTTTCAGCTGATTCTGTGTATGATCCATCTTCTTCTTTTGATGCTTCATGATGTTTCATGTTCTGAAACAACAAATGAATATGTGATGACAGTGGCGTAGCATGGGGGGTGCAGGGGGGGGCGGCCGCACCGGGCGCAACATCTGGGGTTAGGGCAAATCCACAGGTTAGGGGGCGCAAATCCACGGGTTAGGGGGCGCAAATTACTTGCCTTGCCCCGGGTGCTGACAACCCACGCTACGCCACTGTGTGATGAGCATATGCTTCATTGCCCTACTGTACCACCCTAAGATTATGTGACATATTCACAGACTTCTCTGCTCTCTAAGAAGCTGTTCAGAGGAAATGTGTGTTGGTATTCCCTCTCTTATTCAACATGGATCAATTCCCCCAGGCTTTAAACAGCTCTAATTTTTACCCTTGTGTAGGGATGGGGGAGAAATCAAAATGAGTTTGATTTTAAAGGCAAATCTACCTAACCTGCACTTTCCAAAAGAACCTGAGGACCAAAACACAGAATTTCTGACACCTCCAAATTTTGAAATGCTCTTCTCTAGCCAAGTAATGTGTACAAAATTGCCAAGAGTAAAGTGTGCATGAAAATGCATATAGTGGTAAAAATAACATACAAAAATGTACTATATTAGGGGACACTGAACTTCAGTGTTTCGCTTCCAGCGGGCACTCAAGGGTATGCAGTACTGGCACTTTTGTTTTGTTAAAAAGTGTGGCACTTACTGCAACAATTTCATGGTGGGTATCGGCACCCATTTTTCTAGAAAAAAGCACTGCTGAAAAAAGGAGGAACTGAAAGAAACCAAAATTGACAGATTCACCCATCTGATCGCCAAAGAATTGATGCTTTTGAATTATGGTGCTGGAGGAGACTCTTGAGAGTCCCATGGACTGCAAGAAGATCAAACCTATCCATTCTTAAGGAAATCAGCCCTGAGTGCTCACTGGAAGGACAGATCATGAAGCTGAGGCTCCAATACTTTGGCCACCTCATGAGAAGAGAAGACTCCCTGGGAAAGACCCTGATGTTGGGAAAGGAGAAGAAGATGACAGAGGATGAGATGGTTGGATAGTGTTCTCGAAGCTACCAGCATGAATTTGACCAAACTGCGGGAGGCAGTGGAAGACAGAAGTGCCTGGTGTGCTCTGGTCCAGGGGTCACAAAGAGTTGGACACGACTAAACGACAAAACAACAACAACAAATAGGGCCTCTTAATGAGCTCATTCATTTCAGGTAAATCCAATGGCTAGCCTAGCTGCACCATAGATAGGTAGATAGATATACTCTAGCTGTTCGCTTTCTGGATAGCTTCCATGTTAGTGACCCTCTTTGCATTTGTCTGCACAGAGGAGAAATGATTCCCACCCCCTGTCTTGGCATAAAGCCACTTTGGATGACTGCCCGCTACTAAGTAAAGAGACTAAAGTGGATCTTTCAAACTTACATTTAAATACTATTTTAGTTGCATGTGGATGAGATCACTTCCTAAGTTAATAACTAACAGGAATGACGGTTTAGACTGCTTGCTGAAAAAAGAAAACAAAGGGAGATTAAAGACACTTCAGGATCTGGATGGTTGCACTGAACTTCACAGAATTTCACATTTTAATCTGGTGCAGTGAAAAAGTCAGGCAGCATGACGGCATGATATATTATTGTGCTTGAATATGGAATCCCTTTAAGATGGATTAGGAAATGAAGGTACGAAATAAATGACATTTTGTCCTTATCATATAGCTCCAGGTTCCGCAATGTGTTCTATGGGTGATGCTGCCGCAGGTGACAGGAACTAAATACAGTCATACCTCGGGTTACAGATGCTTCAGGTTGCGCATTTTCGGGATACGGACACGCCAAAACCTGGAAGTACCAGAATGGGTTACTTCCAGGTTTCGGCATTCATGCATGCGCAGAAGCACTAAATCGCCCTTTGCGCATGCGCAGAAGTGCCGAATCACAACCTGCGTGTGTGCAGACGCGGCGCTGCTGGTTGCGGACGCTGTGGGTTGTGAATGTGCCTCCCGCACGGATCATGTTCACAACCCAAGCATCCACTGTAATGCTCCATATCTGACCAAGGCTCACCTTGAAGATCAGCAGACCAAAATAATTATTATCAAGGCCATAGTCATTACAAAATAACGACCATTCATTTGGGGCGACTTATTTCAAACTGGGCTTTGGTCAGACGACTTGAGATAAACAAAAACCACTCCTCTGATGTTGCAGCCTTATTCAGAAGCTGTGAAAAGAAGGGCAGGGCTTTTTCAGCTATGTCTGGAGGGGGGGAGAGGATGTCAAGGCCAGGAGTACAGACTTGTGGGTGCTCCCCAAGTGTCAGGGACTCGATGGATGAGGAAGAGTGGTGGGCACCGCCTGCCTAAGAGTCCCCCGGGATGAAACAGAAGATGACTTAGACCCCAAATTGTGGTGGTGGGACACTGGGGAACAGTCTGGGGAAGGGACAAGATGGGAAGTGCTTGAAGCAAGAGGCTTGTACGATCAAGGGGCGTCCAGAAGAAGGAGGCCCTTCTAGGACAGGGCTGGAGGATGAGAGTCTTAGTGTCTTAGTGTCAGTGCGGACCCAGAAAGAGACGAATCAGAGATCGTCTCAATGAAAGCAGCTTCCTAAGCGCCTATGTTCCCATTTATTTTTAGGAACAAGCCCTAAGTCAGCTACGTTAAACAACAAAAGTGAGGCATTTTTTCTTTCACATAAAAAATTGCAGCTACCGTACTTCTCCCATAACAATTACAAATGGAGCTAATCCAGTTCAGGCTGCATCACAAGATACTCATAATTCACTCTACAGAGATTGTTTTGCCAACCAGTTAAATCTTGTGAGAAAATATTCTATGTTCTTCTTTTCAAGTCCCCAGAGAAAGATTTGCCTAGAATTTAGTCGGGGTATTGTACATGCATGCCATTTGTGGTTTTTCAAGAAAACAACTGGTTCCGAAAACTCAATAAACTGGTCTTGTACGCTGATGAATTTGCGGTTGTTCTTGTCATTTATAGGGTTAGGCTATGCTCAAATATGCAAGCCCAACACATTTTTCTGCCTGAGACAAAAGACAAGATGGCACCCTCTATTCCACCTATATAACCCAACTAGACTGAAAGTAAGAACACAAAAACAACTTGCTGTATCACAGGCCAGTGTCCCATCTAGTACAGCATCCTGTGCTCAGCCAGATGTTGATGGCAAGTCCACAAGCAGTATTTGGTACAACAGCACTCTCCCTGCCTGTGGTTTTCCGCAGCTGGCATTCAGAAGCCTACTGCCTTTGACAGTGAAGGTAGAACATCACAGTCCGAATTAGCAGCCACTGACAGAGCCTTATCTGAATCCATGAATTTATCTAATCCTCTTTTAAAATTAGTGGCCACCACTAACTCTTAACCAATAACACAAGATGGCCATATGCTGTGTGAAGAAATACTTTTTTGGGTCTGTCTTGAAATTTTCAATGTTCAGCTTTGCTGGATGTCCAGAAGTTCTAGTATTATGAGCGAGGGATAAAAGCTTTTCTCTATTCACTTTCTCAACGGCATACTTTTTGAAATATACTCGGAGTGCCCCTTCAGCCGTTCCATTATTGTTTTGTAAGGAACAGTAGCAACGTCTTTAGGCGCAAGGAGAGCCTGGGCAATTTCGAACGTCTCCTCTCCGCAGACACTGAAGAATATCACCCTCTTCTTGGCGTCGTTGGTGACCCCTTTGGCTTCTAGGAGAAAGGTGAAACAGGAGGCATACGCTTCCCAGTCTCCGGATGCTGGGTTGAACGGCGAGAAGCTGCTGTCAGTTGCCATTCTGAGTTCCTTGGGTCCCAGAGCTGAAGCCTGGATACACGGTGTGAGGCAGCGGTGTGGCAGGTGGTGGTGCTGTGGTGCTGTGTGTGGCGGTCAGCTCAGTGGGATCCCATCATCGTCACCAGTGAAATATACTCGGAGTCAAGTGTGGATTTCATGTTCTTTATTCAGCTCATAGTAACGAGGAATGGAAGTTTCCCCAAAATATCTGCTTTATATACATTATTTACACAATGGGCCCCACGTGACTGGCTAATTCCGGGATTCTCCTGTAGGCCAATCAGGTTGTGGATTCACTTCCACCTGGAGCTGGATTGGGTGGCTCCTGCGGACCAATCAGACTGCTGCATTCTGGATCCTATTGTTCTAGGACCAATCAGACTGCTGCATTTTGGATCCTATTCAACTCAGTACATAACACTTTTAGATATTTTTATGGTGTCACCTCTTATTTGCCTTTTCTATAAACTTCTCTAACACAGTACAGGCACAGGTTGGAGTCAGTAAGCCATGGTGCACCTCTAGTTATGGGACAGCACCAGCTTCAGCTCAATCCTGAAGAAATGATGCTGACCCACGAGAAGAGCTTTGGATCAGACAGTTTGGTTTCTAATTAGCTGTCTTAGAAAGGCTCGTTTTAGAAATTAAGCATCGCACATTTTAAAGATGGGCTTGAATTAATGCCCGATTTCTCACCAGCATCTCCCCAGTGAGAATGGAAGGAATTTTACTCACTACAGATTCCGGTTGCATTGGTGGCTAAGTTTTGCTTGGAGAACATGAGTACCAAACACCCTCACCCCAATATACCTGCTCTTTTTTTCCTTTTGCAATTAATTAATTGTTTTATTTAAAAATTGTTTCATGGAAGAACTCTGTTAGGGAATTTTAAGGATGAGAAGAAGGCATGGCAGAAAGAGTATGAGTAAGGCTGTAGGTATAGTACAGTGGGAAAGTGGATCAAAAGAAAGTGAAAGCAGAGGAATGTTGAATGAAATGTCACAGGTGCATAGGAAGTTGGTTTATGCCAAGTTAGACCACCAGTCCATCTAGCTTAGTACTGTCTTCTCTCCAGGGTTTGGGGCAGGAATATATCCAAGCTCTACCTGGAAATGCTGGGAATTGAACTTGGGAGATACTGTACCATCAGGTGGAACACTCTCCCATCAGGTGTCAAAGAGATAAACAACTACCTGACATCTAGAAGACATCTGAAGGCAGCCCTGTTCAGGGAAGTTTTTAATGTATGCCATTTTAATGTATTTTTAATCTTTGTTGGAAGCCGCCCAGAGTGGGCGTACAAATTATTATTATTAACCACTGAGCCACAGTCTTTCTCCTTAAAGGAGACATTTTTCTGGAATATTATCAGTGCTTTAGGAGCTGTCTGTGTAGTACTCTTGGGTCATCAGAAGGTGGTTGCTAGTCCTAGTGTAAATGCACAGACCAGTGTCTGCAACAAGGCATATTGTTATAGTTAAAACCAAATGGCCTTTGGGTTGATAGCTACCATATGTTGCAAGTTTGCCTTTCTGACCAAGAACATCTTCCAAGATCAATAGTTACTTTGTGGTGCAACAGCTTGTGGAAAAGGGAAGATTATTGTTTTTTGGTTTCATTATGGAGGCCAATAGCTTTTGCCCTGAGCTCAAAAAGGATTTTTTTAACAATGTGCAGTTTTACTTTCCCCTTACTTCAAGTTACATGCTGGAATCATAGAATCAGTGCTCCCCCCCAGGGGATACTCAAGGTTACGTGGTATTGGCACCTCTCTCTTTCATTGTAAAAAAGTGGCACAACTTCATGAGGAGTACTGGCACCTATTTTTCTAGAAGAAGAAAAACCCCCACACTGCATAGAATCATAGAATTGTTGAATTGGAAGGGACTGTTTGTGATGTTCCTGAGTTTCATAATTTGGGTGGTGCTGAAAACAGCCCTGTCCCATAACCTGGAAACTACAAGCTTTCTATGGTCTCAGCAAGACTGGCATATCACAATTTGTTCTTCTTAGGAAGGAAACCTCATTTATTTCAAGGGAGTTACTTCTGAGTAAAATATACCAAAGCCAGCCATTTGTGCTTTATTCTGTAAAGGTAGTACAATTGGGCACTGACATTGGGCATGAGGAAAGTGCTTAAACAAACATAGCCAATATAACTCACAGTCAACATTTCCACCAGTCCAAAGGGAGAATTGACAGGATAATTGACAGATATAATCTGGGGCCTCCATCCTATAGATCCAAGCTAATGGACTTGCATCAACAGCTCCCAAGAAGGTGCCCATTCACATAACTGTCTCTGTGCAATTATTTCTGGCCTGGGAGTCTGCCAGTACTCTACATGTTCCCAAGATGTGGATCACATGGCACATGTATGAACTAGGGCAAACTCCACTGAAAGCAATGGGACATGCTTGTTGCAACAACTTTCTTCCAGTGCTTTTAGGGGGACGAATTCAACTAACTTTAGCAGGAATGAGGCCTGGGTGTATATCTTTCTGAGGAATAATGGACAATAGTTTTAGAATGGCTTGCTCCTAAATAGAAAGTACCCCAGGGAAGCTGGCACTGACAGCAAGCATTCATAGGAATAATTTGCCATGCCAACACATTCGTTGAGCACTTGATTTTAACATGCAAAATGTGACTAAGTAGGAAAGGCTGCCTTGGACTCTTCTTCATTCCCAGCTGCTTGTCACTTTTCATTTCTTGTTCCTTCAAAACTGAGGAGGCCCTCAGAACCACAACACAAGATAGCCCAGCCAATTCCTGTAAAAGTTTCAAGAAAACCAGTATAAACTGCTTATTGTGTTACTGGGTTTATACAATATGTGTTTATTTAAAACTTGTAACAGCTTCCAGCTTTGGACATGCAAATTCCAGGGAGATAATAAGAAACTGATCTTCACATCTAAATGTCACCTTTTACTGTGCACATTGTTGCATATAAACACAGGGTGGGAAAGAATATTATGCTCTGCCATGAAGGGGACAGCATGGCT